CACTCTGAAATCTTTCGTGTGGTACCAATGCTGCAGGTAGCTACCACGATGTAGTTGGCGACTAGCAGCCTCACATGACAACGAGACAAGTTCTTGACACTTGAGATAGTGTACCCACAGCAGGGGTACGGTTCGTAGGCTATAATGACATAATTGGTCATTTTCTCAAGATTTTTGGCGTTTTTGTGGGTAAACTGTTGTGGAATGCCTGAAAATTGAGTTTCGGCTATGCTGTGCTCACTGGAGCAAGATGATGTGCAGTAACGGCCATTCTTGTCATTCAGCCACTTCCGCCGAACATGATATTGCCTCAACTTAACCACTTGGATCTGCGCGGTAGTACAAATTTTATTGGAATGGAGCAGAGAAGTGTCACAGACTGTCGAACGTCGCGGCCGGCCGAAGTAATGGACGACGCCATTTTGGCGATGCGAACTGCGATTCCATTTTGACATTAAGTGGAAGCCGTCACAATGATTCCAGACGTGTCAAAGCAACGTCAATGGTAAAGATATTGACTTCACCATGCAAATAATTATAGACAATGCCTAACAAATGCTTGCACAAGTTTCAATTTTCTCACAATCAGACGCATTTTGTACGCAGGTTGACGCTTCTTACACATATTACAGCTGCAAGTTAGATTGACAAACCCTGAATAAATCTCCTGTTTCATGCCATTGCAATTGCATTTTCTCACTTTTGGGGCCACCGCGTTGGAATCCACATGAGTTGAATCTGCCCGGAGCTTGTTAAAATGTTTGCGTATCAAAATCGAAATATCATGTTCCCTCACTGATTTGCACCAAATTAGAGGTTTTCTGTTACCTTAAGCGTGAAGCTCGCACTACATAGCAAAGTAAAAATTCAAAACTTATCTGCTGTATCTTTGAGATCCAAAGTCCTGATACAAATTATTTTTGTTAGGTTAACTATAGTTAGGTCAATAATAAGCTACCAATAGCTGCTGCTGGTGTTGTTGCCTTACTCAATGAGTGACTTTGGCAGAGTGCTACTTGTGGTAGTCTGTGCCACCTCAACTCATTGTTTGAATGGTTATAGGATTATTGCTAGAACTGCTCGCATAGCTACTGTGGGTTTTGGATGTTGTCACAAGAAATGGCATTTGCTGTAATGGGCTCCGCGCAAAATGAGTGCTATCAATTAACAACTTATAGCACCAATATATAGCTGGATGCGTACAAGTTTTGGGACAAAGGGACTGGTAGCACGCAAATTCAAATGCAGCATTTTCGATTTTACATGTTGCGGGCAACTGCTTGTTTGTATAAAATTATCGTGCACCATTGAATGCAAAAAATTCTCCTTGACACAAAGATACGCGGCTGTTTTATGGTCCATGAAAAATTTAGTTTTGCAACAGCAGTCATTTGTTTCTAAATTGTTTGCTATTAGTGGGGTCGTGGCCACCACATTCTCTGGCCATGTGAAGAGAGGGCAGAGGGCGTTTAAGTATAAGAGTACAGTGGAGGAGGTTGGGGATCATAGGAGGCAGAGAAAGTGGTGGAGGTAACAGATGTGGCGGAGGTGGAGGAAGTTGCCAAGGGTGGCGCCTATCATAGTGAATTTGGTGAACAATGTGGCATGGGGCTACGGGATGGCTTTTGGTAAGTACGTGTACTAACAAAAGGCGCATGGTGTCTAGGTTTTAATGAGGGGATTGCCCGATTCTGGTGGATCATTTGCTGGGCGAGTCAACCTGTGCATTGGCAGATAGCCCTGAGAGCAGCTGGCTCTCCCTCAAGGAGAGTGAGCAAGTATTCATGACCACAGAAATAAGAGCCCTGTAGCTCAAGAATGAGATAGATGGATGCGGCTGCCAAAACCCCTCCCCTGATTATGGCAGACATGGTATTGCAGAAGCGCAATGCAAATGGTCTCATTGTATGTTATCAAGAGTGTGCATTGCATTAATTCATAGTTATATTCGAGTTCTTGGGTGAATGTTTTTCTTGCGGATCCCTTGAAAAAGGCTCCACAAAACTTGTGACTGGACTAAAGCAATCACAATATGTGAATGCTCCGACATAACCTGGTACCTGTCGTTACGTTCAGCGTTTTGACATCATAGCATTTGCATTTGCGCTCTTCAAAGGCCGAACAAAGTCCAGTATAGAAGAAAAGCCACTTATAAATTGCGGTGGTGCAGAAGAAATACGGTGGCCACAGCGTTTATTCTCAGTCTCCATACAACATACTGCAAGAGCAAGCAGACCTGAATCGTATTCCAAGGCGTAACCCAGACTATAAGCTTGTACAAACGCATTGCCGCTAGACTCGCCGCACAGGACCAACCTTGTAAATTGGCCTCAAATTTGCAGTGCTGTGCTCCAAGATGATACAACTGCTTGGGGTCTCTTTAGAGATTCTCTGGGTGCAAATGCCTGTGAAATCTCAAGATCACAAGGAGATGAAATCCACTAATATTCACGAGAATTTGACGTAACGTCAAAAGGGTACAATCTGCGTTGGCTTTCGAGTTTCGATTTTGTACATCTGCGGCTTAGAGCCAATGCCTATGGAGAAAGTAGCAAAAAGTGACAGCAATCGCGAATTCTGGACAACCGCGTTCTATTGCTCAAGCAGGGCTGACTATGCTACATGGGTCCCTGTACATGGGAAAACTACTATGTGGGCTGCAATAACATAAACTGTTTAACTAGTCACGTCAAATACTTATCACACGCGGTTCAGATAGTCTCCCCGACCTCATATACCGCATCAGATCATCGTCGCGTCGCTTCAATCAGAAGCTTCACGCTGCTCTGAGTGGTTCTTTGTAAAGCAACGCCAGCAACAAGCTGTCTGCTGTTGCACAACAGCACACGCCGTGCAGCTGCACGGGCTTGTCATGTAGTGCAAGCACAATCATACTTCGCATCAGGTGATATTTCCAAGGCCATTTGGTAGACCTGGTGCAAGAATGAGGGAAAAGAAAAGGCGTCTTCGGCTGCATTCGCAGTGCGTGAAATTCGTTGTGAAATGAAGATTTCATTGAGAATTCGCAACGGCTTTCCTGTGAGTTCCTACTGGAAAACAGCAAGCAACAAGTCGAGCAGATGGCGCACATCCATAGGCGATACCAGAGCACGTTGGCGCAAATCAACCCCCTCTCCACTACAGAGCCCACGCCCACGCAGAACAAAACTTGCGAGATGTCAGAACTCAAGCCCGAAACAAGGTGACCCGTGTTCATCATCGGTTTCGTTGCGTCGCACTTCGACGCCGCAATACACCCCCTTAGCTGTTCCCTTCGGCACGCTGTCTCCCATCGGACGTGCACCTACTCCCCTCCAAAGCCACCACGCCCTTCCAAACTGTGACGGGCAGCTGCTCCGCATGACCCTGCCGATGCACTCTCCCCAGACGCATTTTTTCCAACGAGTCGTGCCGTCTGTCGACCTTTCCAATGCGCCACCTTCCGGCAACCGACGCCTGTAACCCTAGCCAGAAACCGCCGCTGCACAACGTTGGGGCTTCCAGATACTCGTTTACGTACAGCACGCGCTGCCGGGCGCCGGGATCCAGCAGAACTCCGGTTCCGCCATGAAAATCCGGGGCCGTGCAAGGCAGGCTGTGTGGGCGGCTATATAACGCTACCTAGCAGGTGGGCGCTCCCCGTGGGGAGGACTTTGCCGCAGAGGAGCTCAGGCCGTCGGGGACAATCAAACGGCCCTCCCACCCCCCCACCCAAAGGCCAGCAGTTGAAAAGAGAAGGTCGCTCGTCCTCGACTTATCAAGCGAGCCTGGCGCCGTTTGGACCGGGTTTTGCTTGCAGGATTTTCCGTGTACGAGGCCTTGGCGTAGTTAACGGAAGATGAGGGCGGCGACGGTTGCTGCGGGCGCCAGCGCGCTGTTGGTCGCGCTGCTGACGACGGAAGTCGGTAGGCCGAAAATTTTTATCGCGGTGGCGCAGCGTGGATCCGAGGCTTGGCAGTGGGGATCGTGCTGTCGCGGAAACCTGGGGGATCGAATGGGTCTGTGGACGATGTTAGAGAGTATGCTTGCCGTCGCCGGTGTGAAGGCGTTATTGCCGTGTGGCGCGGCAGCGACTTGAGCCTCGACGAGACCGTTCGCAGGCCCCGGCTCGGTCTCGGGATGACTTTTCCTTTGACATTGATTCAGTTGCGATTGGCGAAATGGTTCCCAACTTCATCTTCTGACTTTGACCCTCCGGAGAGCTAACCTTTGCCACCGGATGACACAAACTTTGGGCTAGAGGGCTGCGTTCAGGATCCTCGTAGAGACGTTGTCGTCGCGAGGGAGGGGGCTGGCGTCCGGCCGTGCGGTACACGTGGAGAGCCCGTCAGTGCTCATAGCTGAGCTACAGCCCCGAAACTCTTGTCCGATCGATTGGATCCACAGCCGACGTGGTTTGAGAGTGCGCTGGCCATTGACACGAGCGTGGTGCCTTTTCCGCCAGTGCTTGTCTCGGGTCGCGACAGCTGCATCCCCTTTCGATCAATTGGGGCTGGGCGCTATGTTCCAAAACAGCCTTGTTGACTACACGGTGAATGCGCACGTTCGTTGCGCGGCCCTTTCTGGGGCCGTCAAGGAGTCAAATCAAGTTGGCGGTCGCCATTGTCGGCAGGTCGCCGCCCCGCAGGCCGCACGGCAAGGTGATTTGCTGCCGATTTCTCAAGTTGTTTCAAGTTTTCGAAAGTCCCTAGAAGGTGGCTCTGCGCGTTCCGAAAGCGCTGCAGCTGTGAAAGAGCGCAGCGAGAACAGCCAGCGCTGGCCAGGCCACCGTCGAGACAGTCACGCGCGAGAGTCCCTCACCACTTGGATCCGGTGAGCGCAGTCAACACCGTCTGACTCGGCCAATACGACCGCAACAGAACTCTGGTTCCGGAGACCATGCTCTATGTTGATCGGCCTGCCTGGCGACAAGCCGTCGCCGCATCCACATTAACTCGGTGGTCTCCGCACCTGACATAGGAACCCTAGCCGGGAAGATGCCCCCATACCCTCCGCCAAGAATGGCGGCGATCTGTGGGTTGGCCGCTCGACTGACGCCTGGCGTGGCGTTCGCAGGTTGCTCGAGGCCGGGCGTCCAGTTCGAAGGCAGGGCGCTGCGGCAGAACAGCGCCCACGCGGGAAACTCCGTGCAGGCCAACGGGGGTGGCTCCAGGGCATCGGGGTCCTCTGTGTCCATTGCCCACTCCGAGGTGAGGCGTCCCTTTAATGAGCGAATTGATGCAACTTTCTCACACGTTAGAAGCGCGTACATGCGACGAAAAACTCGAGTTGCGTATCGCTATTATCGCTATCGATGTATCGATCGATTGCATCAACAGTCCCTGCATTAGGGGCGGGAAGCGCGAACGTGGCCCGGGGCTTGTTTGTCTCGTCAAGACGCCAGACTTCACGCCTGGGTGAATTGGACAGGAATTAAAGTGGTGACGATTAACACCTCTTGGCACTGTAGCACGCCTGAATATGCATCACGCTGTTGTAACCAGAACTGATGGAGTATAATCAATACCTGGAGGCATTAAGGAGTGATGAGACAATAGGGAACTGAACAAGGGACACTGATGAGCGGACCGGATACATAAACGACAGAATTCGTGTTGTCTCTGAGCCCCGCTGTAAGCTGTTGCCGTGCACTCCAGCATACGTAGGCCACGGTCGTATACGGTCACCAGTCAGGGACGCCACCCCTCCACCATTGAGCGCCACCCTGCCTGCCTTCGCCGACGCTCGTCAGAATCGACGGGTCATGCCTTGGCCACACATTAAGCCTTGAAATGCGCTGAACCTGCGAAGGCAGGTGCAGTGAAGCCACATTTCCAGCCCCCGAACAGCCAGAACCTGAAGGGATGCATTGTTCTTCGCAGACTCTTGAGGAGGACGCCATTGCTGAGGCCGTGACAGTGGCAGTTGCGGAGGTCAAGGGAGGTAGGGAGGCGTCGGCGGCAGCGGAAGCTGCTGCCACCGCGATCGGCACGGCCTATGCCAAAGCCCTGGCCTACACAGAGACGTCCGTCGAAGTCGAGGGAGAAGGGGCCGCGGTGTCCGAGGCGAGGTGAGTGCACCGTACACATTTCATGCATGCATGCATGAGTGTTTTGCAGTAAAATGAAGCACAATTCGGCGACCTGAAAGAAATGTCATTGTTTCTGAGATTGCGCTTGTCTGGCTATGCTTTCACTTGGTCGAGTTGGGAACGGCGAATTGCAAGCAAACATTGATCATTGTCTCATAGACTCGCGCAGACAGAGCTTTGAAGATCAGCAATTGCAAACCCAAAGATAGCACTGAAACTATCACCAAAGCTGAGATCAGTCACGAGCACAACCAAAACTCACCCTATTCCTGGAATGAACTCAGATAGTATGTATTGTATCCCATCAACAAGGCAATCTAGCCGTGCGAGGCTGAGCTTTCCCTTGCCTCAATCTACAGCGCCGAGTCCAAGGCAGTGGCCGAGGCGACCGCCGTGGCCATCGCCACGGCCCTCTCGAAGGCCACCAACGGAAAGTCGGAGGCGGTGGCCCAGAGCTCCTCGGCCGCCCTGGCTTCGGCCATTGTCAAGGCGGAGGCCAGCGCCAGGTCCAGGTCGGCAACGACGGGCGGGTCTGCGTCCGCGGTGCAGCTGAGCGTGGCGGAGGCTGTGGCGCACCCCATAGCAAACGCCATAGCCGCGGCACTTTCCTACGTGTACGAAGGTGGGTTGTGGGCACGGGCACCGCGTCGTTGTCAGCCGATGCTCGTTGCCAGTCCTCTGATAAGCTCCTGTCGCAGTATTTGATTGTTTTTTCTTTTCAAAACAGCAAATCGTCAGCTCATCATCCCATATATACTTATTTGCTTTGGGCCGAAAATTCGGCCCGAACAGCCGGCCATTGGTAAATACCGAACCGTTGGGATTCCCATGCATACGATGCAGAAGACTCTTCAAACACGCCAGTCAGCGCATTGAAATTCAGTTCCACGGATGTTTTGGGGTACGCCAGGCAAACCCAGTTCCGGATTGTGCATCCCCTGTCCGGATGAAGTACGAAGTATGAAGTATGAAGCTCTGCATTGTGGAAGCCAACTGCGACGCCTGTTGACAGTAATTGATGCAGTCACATTCCCTGTTGTGGATCCATTGAGATCCCAAATAGCATCCATTTGATATCACGGAACAGGCGTTTTTCTACCAACGACAGGGGAAAGGTACATCTTCAAAAGCGTTCCCGAGCCTTTTTGGAAAAATTTCACTAGCAGAAAAAGACCAAATAACACATTCCGAGAGCACATATGTATGCATTCATCAGTGTTCTGCACGCTAAAAACACGAAAATAGCACAAACCCGTAAACGCTGTACACGCTTGAACACGTGTTATTTGGACCTTTTTCCCCTAGTGTTTCTTGTAGCCTTTTTTTGGCAAAAGCCACTGATGCCGTTCTCCTCCCGCCTCCCAGACTCGGCGGTCGCGACCAGCGAGGGCACCGCCGACAGCAGGGTCGAGAAGGATACCACGGCCACCACCGCGTCGGAGACCAAAGCCCACTCGGACCCCGGAAAGGCGTCCACAGCGGAGGCCGGCGGCAGCGCGGGGGCAGACGTCTTCGAGGTGGTTAGCGGTGGAGATGTGGACCCCGTGGTCCATGGTGGCGGCGAAGTGGACTCCGGGGTCCATGGCAGCGGCGAAGGGGACCACGGTGTCAACGGCGGCTTCGGCAGTTACGGCAACTACGTGGGTCACGGAGGGGATGGTGGATACGGTGGAGTTTATGGCGGATACGTTGGATACGGACATGGGGTATACGGTGGATACGGAGTGTACGGAGACCACGGTGTGTATGGGGTGCATGGAATATACGGGGGCCATGGGGACCACGAGGTGCACGGGGCCGGCGAGGGGGGGAGCCGCTGTGGGCTGCCCAAGTCGCTGAGACACCTGTGCCACAAATAGAGGTGAGAGTTTTTTACTGAGTCATTCCTGATATCTTTTTCACACAATTCACAAATAATTAAATAGTTTTAATATCAAAACTAAAGAAATATCATTCGCGAATATGGATAAACAAAGCAAATATCATTTCACTATATATGTATATCATTTCACCATTTTCTTTAACATTATTTAGCATTTACATCTGGTAAGTGTATTTAGCGAATAAGTTCGCTGTCACCCTCCGCACAGTCTTATAGATTTTCATGAGCGCGAGCCTGTATCATGTACGGGCTTGGGCGGAGAATGCGTGAAGTGTGGGAATCGGCGACCATGTGCTGATGCTAGCTAAGAGATTAACTGAGCTATACAGAAGCGCAAGATGGTGATCAATGCACGCCTGGCGCCTTGTCTGACGTCACTTCGACCGTTTGTGGTAGGGTGATGAGGCCTTGGTGAGAGACGCATTGCAAAACCGTTTACAGGAATGGACAGAAACCGGTGAGTTGGCATGAGTTATATTCAAACACACAGGACGGGAGAGGAGACCAGTGTGGAGGGCGGAAATAACGGATGCGAGTCCTTGGACGATTCTGCTGCTTTGAGTCGTCTGGTGGAGATTTGTGGTCGTGCAGGGATCTGTTGAGGAATAACCGGCGCACGTTTAATTCCATAAAATTTGCTGGTAGTTATTTTGGTCCGTTTTCTTAACGCCGCTTGCATCATCGGAGAATTAGACACCAGATCTGAAGGTCCGTATTCCGAGACGCGAATTTGCGCTTCGGTAGTATTCCTTGAAATTGACAAACGGGAATGAAAGATGTCCAAGGCGCGGTCGCGCTTCCTGGTGGACATTCTTGAAAGCGGCGCCCCGGAGGGGGGACGAGAATTGCGGCGGCGAGGATCTGGGGCAGAATTTGGCGCACTGTGAAGGGCAACTCTCTGTTAGAGGGTCTCAAGAAAAGGGACGGCCCCAAGGGGAGGCCTGCAGCTCAAACCTCAGAAGCAGATGTAATTGAAGCGGTGGTCCGTTTTGAGGGGGCCTGTCTATCGGAGTTAAAGCTGGCGGGACCCACCCATTTGGGGAGGCCGGGGCCTGCTGTCGGGATGAGATTTGGCGACGAGGCCCACGCTTCACTTGCCTTGCTCTGGAAGGTTGCGGTGGGGAAGAGGCGTTGGAGCCTTGGAAGAGAGGGTGTCTCTGGTGGTTGGAGTCTCCACAAGCGTTTAAGTCTCTGGCAGTTTTCTGGGGAGGAGGCTTTGGAGTCTCAAGTGGATTGGACCAAGGCTAACGTCTGTGCTGCAAATGTCTGTGCGGTTTAGTTTTTGTACGGGGCGCCGCTGCTGCGAGGAGAAGGCTTTGCGATGGGCAGTGGCGACTGCGCGGATGGAGGGCGGTACGATGGCGTACGTTTATGCTCGTTGTGCGAAGAGACATGTTGAGAAAGAATTTTGGCGGCAGTGGCGTGGGGTGGCACATGCGCGGGCACGTGAAAGATCAAGAGGATAACGAGATCCTACATATCGAGCGCAGATATGCAGCACATTGTCGCTACTGCAGCAGGATATGGTATACAGAGTGGCAATTCTGTGACACCTCATGTAGGCGGACGACTTTGGACCCAGGGCGCCAGCCCAGCGCCACTGAGTGACGAACCATGAACATAGAAGAATCAGTAATTGAACTATTGTGCAAATGAATCAAGACCGACGCTGAGAACCCACGTGAACGTCACCAGAAACACAGTTCGGAGGACAAGGCGAAGACAGCCCAGCAGTCATGCTGGACTAAATGTCGACGGGAATATTCGAACAGACGAACACTGGGTGCCAGGATGTTCTATTTGGTATTTGGAGATTATCCATTTTGTGATTGCACGAGGCCCATGTGGCAAGCATACCCCCCACAGTTCAAACCATGGACTACATTTCACATTCAAAAGGTGAATTAATGAACAATACCAAAAGAAAAATAAAGAGCACAACAATTACCCCAGCACAGGCAGCAACAACCTTGTCTGCAGGGGTAACCAAAGTCCAATCAATCAATCAATCAAACAATCAAATGAAATAGATTGATGGCCTGTTTCAGGTCACCTCAGAGGGCTTGCACCGAGCTGTGGAGGTACACCACTCACAGTGCACCAAAGTTCCGCTCCTGAGTCATGCATCATGACTAATCGCCACTGAGTGTGCCTGGTCTGAACACCAGGGCATCCAGTGCCACAGCTGACTGCATGCTGCTTGAGAGGCCCACACCCGCCACTGGTATCAACACAGGCTCTGCTGCAGATGCCCCATCCTCTGACAGCCTCAGATACGGCTGCAAGATCTGCAGGACAGCATCCCTGGCCAATCTGGGATCGCCGATTCCCCCCACGCAGTAGTAGACTCGGAACACAGCAATGTCTTCATACCATAGCTGTGATATTTTCAGCGCTTGGCACAGAGCCCCAGCAGCTGATTGGCCAGCAGAGGTGAGCTGGTTGGTTGTCCACTCATCCAGGCCTTTGCCCTTGAGTGAAGGGATGAAGCTGTGGAATTTAAGGAAACGGGATCTGCTCCAGGCAAGGCGGCAATCCACACCAGAATCAGAGCTGATATCCTCCAAAGCCACTCGGACAGAGGCCACCTCAAGGCTGCCAAAGCTGCAGGGCAAATCGAAGCACTGTGATTGGGTGACCTGCACAGGAGAGACAGCTTGGCTGTCCAGAGCTGGGGCAGCATCGTGTGGAGTGTCAGGAGCGCTGATGCCCTGGTCTGTATGGTTGTCATGCTGTCTCTGAAGCACGAGTCCGCCTGGCTGCACTTCCACAAAGGCCATCTTGGGCAGGGCTGGGACTTTGACATAGATCAGCAGGGGCGGCAGTTGGGCATCCACAGATGGGGTTTGTAGGTATGAATCCAGTGGCTCCTCTGGATCGCTGTTCCCTTCGCTCACATCCCACGATCCCAGAGGCGCGTGGGTCTGCACACTGTCACTTGGATGCCCCACCACTAATGATGAGCCAGCCCACCAATCCATCCCAGCATTGAAGGCTTGCAATGACCAATCCAAAGAAGAAGCCTCGGATGAAAATCCCTCGCTGTGTTCAATGCCCGCACTTGCCAGATAAACTGTGGCCCAAATCATGGCAGCTTGGATGTTGCCCCCCACTGCAACAGCGACTGACTGGCAGTGCCGCAGCGCTGTGACAAATTCTGCCAACAAACCACCTGACACGCGGGTCATCAGTGCAGGCTCAAGTCCCAGCTGACCTGCCATGAAATACAGGCCCCCGAGGGATGTGCATTGGCTGTATGGCCCAATGCAGCATGGTGCCCACCTTGAGATGCTCTGCACATGCAGGATCTTACGATCACAAGCACGCCCCAAGGCACCTGACATGAACAGCACATCCATCATCGCTGGGCAGTCTGCAGGGAGCGGGAGTTGCACACAGGCTCTTGAGGGCGGGTCCACAGGTGGGAAGAATCGGCAATACGCTTGATTGGCCACACCAAAGTGGGACATGTCTGCCAAGTACAGGTGCACAAAGATGCAGCTGTGCCAGGCCAGCTGCCTGTGCTCCATCTCGCTCTTCAGAGCGCGCAGCATTGCCATCATCGCCTCTGAGGTGGTGTCGGATGAAGGAGGCTGACCATCCATTCTCTCTTTCAAACTTGGGGTGCAACAGATGTGGCAAAAATCTGTGGAATCTCTGACATCAACGCTGACATCAAATGAAGATGGGCCTCCAGCATCGATCGCTTCATCTGCTGGTGTCAAAACACCCAGATGTTCCACTTCCTTCAAGCACTCCTCTGTGACTTCAATGATTGATGGATCGATGCCCACTTCGGCTCCCTCTTTGCCTTCCACATGAAATGCCTTCGGTCTCAGGAACCCAGACGGAGAGATGGGGTCTGGATTGTCAACCACTGCCTCCCATACGTCCAGAACCACTCTACCATGTTTAAACAGGGGACAGTCCAAAACCAGGGTCTCGTACTCCCCGCCCTCCCCACAGACATTGCACCCAAAATCCTCCCTCAACTGGAACAGCACGTACCTAACCTCCACAAGGCTCAGACCAAGGTGCACATGGGGCTTGAGCCCCAGCGCCGCCACCTTGACAAGGATCGCGTGGATTCCGTAATCCACCATATCACGGAAAAGGGCCGCCTGCGGGGCCCTCCAAAGGTACGCCAGCGAGACCAGGCCCAGCCTCTGGCACACATTCTCCACCCTCAGCCTCTGGTAGTCAGATGCAATTGCCCCCGAGCACACCGCCTGCAACCCGGGCACCACTCCCTTCACATACATCACCAACTTGAACAGATCCTCCACCTCATCCCCCCCGGTACTTTGGTACACAAGGTGTTGTTCAACGGCCTCCCCGCCTATGCCCCTCCTGAACAGGGGCAGCCCCATGCACTTGGCGTAGGCCGCCACCATCTGGTGCCCCACTGTCTGGAACATGTAGCTGTCAATGTCATCGATTGCCTCATCCATGGGCAGCAGATTTCCCAAGGCGACGATCTCGTGGCCGTGCTTCTCGCAGGCCGCCATGCAGTAGCACGAGTCCTTTCCGCCGCTCACCAGGGCCAGTACCTTCATCGGAATTCAAGGCCTCACACAAAGGCGACGAGTCCGTTTGGTGTCGGTCACAGTGGACGGCGCAACCCAACAGGGCACAGGGCACTTGCGCCACGTGTATAGCTTCCGTCTTCAGCTTCAGAAAGAGAAGGAATTCTGAAAGTTGGGGCAATTTGGGAACGGCGCCGATGGCACCGTGAACCAGGAAGTGCTGGCGGAGGGAGTCCGAACTCGAAGCCGAATCATCACATGCAGCCCACCGAGGATCCACGCAGCATCGGGGGGGCGCCTCCCAGGCGGCGCAGAGTGGCCCGATCGTCGGTTGGCGCTCCAGTCAGGGCACCCAGCAGCGCTCTCTTGACGGGACGGCGCCCTTGAAAAGAGGACCAGCCCAGTTGTGGCGGCACGGTGGGGATGCTCCTGTACCTTGTGCAGTACTGGACCTTCCCACAAGCATCATACTGCCGGCGCCAGGCCATATATATTGGTCGATTTTCGCCATGACGACGAGACCCGCAGCCTTCCCTTGCCGCCTTTTCTTGTCAACTTTTCTTGTCGAGCCATCAACCAATGCAAAAAATGCTCCGCTGGAGAAACGCCGACCGAGACAATCGTGGATGAGAGAATCTGCTCCAAAATTTCCGACGCACATTGCCATTGCCCAATTTGTCTGCAGGCGCATCGGCGACCGCCATCTAGTGAGGCTACGCTCGGGCAGGGGTGGGTGCAGATGCATCACCGCCTTGCTGAGAAGCCGAGGACGTGGAAAACCACCACAGAGATGCGGATTCGTCACCCACAACAAGGAGTTGAAGCCCGTGCCCCGGCTGAATGGCGCCTGCCATTCAGAGAAAGGTCTATGGATGGCTACTCCAATCCATCGACTGCATTCCCGCGCCAACAAACGTGGGCCTCCACACTCCCCTGCCCAGACCGCTCAGCTTGTTTGTCCCTTGTGTTTCCTCCGTGCTGCAACGCTGAGCGAGACAAAACGTATTGAGCGACTTTGGTTGGGCTCAAAAAAATTCTGCTCGAGCAGAATGTGGAATAGAACTCGTAGAAAGCGACACCGAAAGTGAAAGCACCGAAGCACGTAGCAAGTGTTGGGGAAAAGCGCAGGTCTCCCACTAGCAGAAATCCGTGCATTCGGAGCGAGCTTCATTGAGTGCCCTGACGCCACATGTGGAATGGATACTTTCCTGCTGTACAGCAGGCAACCCACTTGGACTCCTAATATGACGATTGTGGTCGATTGACCAAAGGAGATGGGCGTCGACGTGACGTCATGGCATGCCCCCAGAAGGGAGCTTCAACGCCTTTTCAGTCAAATCCGCACAGATCTTAGCATTTACAAATTCGCAGCTTTGCAGCGCATGTCTGTTTTAGGAAAGCACATATTAATACAAACAGGCGGCCCTTTACACTCGCTAGAGCACAAAGCAAAGCCGTGGTGCGGCGACGCCGTCCTGAAGGCGCCTGCCGCCGTTGCCCTCATCATCCCTACTTTCTCATTTTCTGTGCTTTACTGTGCTGAATAATTAGCGTACCGAAAATGACAACACTTATTGTATTGAAACTTCAATGCATTGAATAATTAATGTGCTGAAACTGAGTCGATGCCTGACGCGTGTGGCGGATGCGCATTTAGATGCACGGCGAGACGTGAGACAGGTGGCCGAACGGGGACCGTCTGTGCCGTGACGTGCCCACACTGTCGCGACGAGATTGGTGTAAGTGGGGAAGTACAAGTCGCTCGGCGCTGTCGACAAACCTTTGAGTCGCGACTGATCAATACGCTGTCGTTGGGGTGAGAAAAACGCAGGCGAGCCCAAAGGCTGGATTCGCACTACGAAGCCCAAATGGGGCACATGCATCTGTAAAACCGCTACACGTTGGTGCAATGTTGTGGCTGCATTGATATTGAAGCAAAGCCGAGCAATGCCTAAGTAGACGGCCGTATGTCAATATTGACAATCGTTGATCCGTGCGCAGACATTGTTTCAATGTTGATACGCTGGAATTTCTGCACCATGGTTCGGTGTTGCATCAACGATATTCTATGCACAACATGGCATCAACGTCTACCATTTTCCCAGATGTAGGCCTTCGCCCCTGGGGGAGGGGTCCAGGTGGTGTTCAAGTAAGCGTCCCAGTCGGGAGTTTTGCCGGGATGCATCACTGGGGATGGCGCCATTCTGGCACCGCTGTCCACCAGGAAGCTGTTCTAGGACCTGCACCAAATTACCGCCATCCCTTTTCCACCGAAGGTGGTGGCTTTCATCTTTCCATCGCAAATTCGTGAGTCGACAGCAATTTTACCGGATTTGACTTCTTCGGCCACTTGCCACTCACATGGCTGTTGCAATGTCACAACACTCACTGGTTCCAAACGCAAGCCGCTGCAGCTGCTAGATTCAGGTGACTACGACTTGGCCTGTGGCCCTCGGCCTGTGTGGCCTTGTGCTTACGGAACTGTGGACCTTTCCTTCATGTAGGAACGCACAGAGTTAGGCCCAAGCATGATCATCCCAGTTATTTTTACGTCATCTGCTGAGCGAATTGTTCAGAAACACAACCCGTGGCGATCGGAATTTCAGATGGCCCCATCCGCGCTCAAGCCGAGAGCGAGCAGTACGTACATTACATTAATGCACAGACACCTGCATGGAAGAAGGCCATGGCATCCCAGAAATAGGCAAGGCATAGTCCATCCGATGGCAAAACTGAAAAGAACATGAACTGTCAGTCTTCCTCGGCCTGTGGTGACCGGCCGCCACCTGACCTCAAGAGTGAATTACTTCTGCATTTTCTTTACTTTTAAATTTATGGATGACTAATGGAGCCTAAGAAAAGCAATCAGTCCTCCCTTTTTCCAGAAGGATATTGATGCTGAAAGCACTGCAGAATAAAAATCAAAGCATAAGCGCACGGCCGCCGGGGCGCTTCACAGCATTCTGAGCTCAGGAGCTTTGCGCCGGGCTTTCAACTTCAGCCCTGACTTCACCAGGGAGTCTCAAGTACTCCTGTTCGTGTTTCAGAAATTCCAAATGGCTCCGGAGCTTGAAGATGCAGAGTCTCTTGAGCTGGTCAGCCCTGCAACATAGAAAACAGGTACAGATTAATCGTTGAAAAGAGAAGAAGGCATTTTTTGAGCCGAAATATATGAATAAAAATGCAGTGCATGATGCATTGGAATTTTGGGGCACTTGCCACTGACAGATGGCACGGATATTGGTACTTGCGCGGGGACCAGCACATTTTGCAAATGAATTCTTATTGATACAATCGAATCGAGACCCATGCAATACACCCACAGAAAAAAGCTGCTTATTTTGAAGACAATATCACAATTTGCGTCATATGGAAAATAGTGAAATTTGCGAAATACGGAAAGAATTGAAACATAATGGGCGCAAAGTACATGGAAATACATGTAGGGAACTTACCTGTAGGTGATGGACAATCCAAGATACTTAAGGCACGTGGCGTAGGTCACTCTCCTGCTGATCAGGACCTCACACTCCTTCTTCAAAGAGTCGCACATGAAATAGTTCGATATTTCCAACAGATTGATCTCCTTTTCCTCGTTCCCGCAGCGCAGTACAACTGACGGATCTCGTGTATAGACGTATTCCAGCAGCACGTGAGCCAAATCGTAAGTCAAACAAGGCCTTCCCAGCGCATACCCTCCGGGATCCATCTCCAGATGCGTCGGCCATTCAACCCTGCGCTTGTCTTCGTTGCTGCGCTTCCGTGAGTTCCTTACGGACGCCAGAATCTTTTCATTCTCCATTAGGATGCATCTATGTCCAAAAATGACTCTGCCCTCGACAACAAATTCCACGTCTGGGTAGTTGTCCTCCCTGTTGAACAAATAGGACAAAGGGCGACTCGCGACCTCTGCACCTTTGACAATGGGTGCCCTTCCCGCGGAGCTTTCAGTCGCCCCCAGTTGTTTCATCATGTCGGGATACTTCTGAAGAGAAGCAGGCACTGGAAAAGGACCCCGTTCGCCGTAATAATCCTCGCAGTCTTTGACGTCGAAGCTCAATGCCTTTGCCTTCACAAAGGCGCCATCCGGCAGCAATACAAATTCTGCATTGTGCAGCTTTTGCCTGACGAGGTCTGCATTTGCCGAATGTTTGGCATATTGTTGCCCCACGTGCTGGTAGATAGCCTCCAAGTCTTCGCGCAGTCTGCCGTTCCACTCCGCCCACGCCTGAGTAGACCTGCCTTCTTCCGTAATGTTCACGAGGTGGTCAAGCACTTTTGCGAGCGGGGGCATGCTGACGTTCCGCAGCCCCAGCTTCCGCCGAAGCTGGGAGGTGTCCCCAAAGCTACTGTCCAAAATGGGCATTGACGAAAACACCAATCCAACATGATGAAAATCGGCTGTCTCTTCCAGTCCCCTGAAATCCCCACAGGAAGTTTTCGGCCAATACGTGTATGGTCTGTCCAGCGCCGCAGTGGGGAAAATGGGAACGGATCCCAGCCGCGCCCACGGACTCCCATCTTGTGGTATTCCATTTGGGAACGCGGTTTCGCAAATTCTTGAAGCCTCCCGAAGAAATTGCGCAATCTCTTGCTTCAGGCTTACCATATCGCCGTCGCCAAGTGCTGATGCGTAAGATATGCAGTCCTCCAAAGTGGCCACATCGTATCCCGTGTGCATTCCCGCCCAAGTCAGAAGGCCCACCACCTCCGCGTCCGAGTGTGATGCGGGCAAAAGGCGCAAAGTGACACCGTTTGAGCGCCGTGCATATACGCGCCGCAGAAAAGCGTCGCTCGTCTTCACGAAAGACTTGGCGCCCAAAAATGTCGAATTCGAAGGAAAGTAAACCACCTTGGCTCTGTCCACCAGCCAGGTGCGAAAGGTTGACATTTTTGAGTCAACACAGACATTGCCGTCATAGCAGTGAGCCACGGATCTGGACACTACTCTCAATGCCTCAACTGAAACCTCCAGCAAGCAATCAGATCCTCCAGCAGGCGAATTGACAACGCTTTGGAGCTTGGGAGAG